GCGGGGGGCTCCGGGGGGCTCCCCGGGACGTCCCCGCCCGCGGCACCGGGAGCCCCGCGGTGCTGGAGGGCCCTGCGGCAGGATGGGGCCCCCCGGCACCGCCAGGGGGGTCCCCGGTGCCGCCCCCGCGCTGAGGGACACCCCGATTGCGCCCCTCCCATCGTCCCCCTTTTCCAGGGCTGGGGCTTCCCCCCCCTTGGAGCCCCAGGGTGTCCCCATCCCGCCGCACGCCCCTCATCCCGGCAGCCGGACCCCCCCGCGGGGCCGGGGTCCCGCTTCCCTGCGGGATGCTGCGTCCGAGGGGACGGCGGGAGCGGGGCGCGCGTCCCCTCCTTTGTCACCACGCGCGGCCGTCCCCGCCGGGCACGGGGGGCGCCCAGAACCCCCCCCATGGGGTGCGGATCCGAGCCCCCCCAGGGCAGAGCCCCCCGGGGATCCGYGGCTCTTCCCGGCTCTTCCCGCCGCGCTCCGGCTCTCTATTGTGCAGCCCCAGGCGGCCCGGGGGCCTCTCGGATTTACCCTTCCCGGGGGCCGCGGCCGGCCTCGGGAAGCGGCTCATCCCGGCCTCGGGAAGCAGCACGTAGGTGTGTGGGTATGCCCGGAGCTGCCGCGGCCGCTTCCCGGCTTCCGTGCRCTTCCCTGGCTCCTGCTGCGCAGCCAGCGTGCCAGGAATCGCCACCCCCCTTCCTGCTCCGGAGCCCCCAGCCCTCCGGCTGCCCCCATCCCGGGATGCTGGAGCTCCCCATGGAGACGCGGCACTGCGGATGCAGCCGGGCTCCCAGTGCCGGGGCGCCCGGCATCGCTCTCCCCTTCCCTGCTCTTCCCAGCGCGCGGGATGCGGAGCAGCCGGTCCCCGTAATCTGCTGCTGTAGACGGCACGAGGATTTAGGCTGCTCTTAATGAGCTCGGCGCGAAGCGGCCGGGCCGGCGGAATGGACCCCCTGGCGCTAACTGGTCCTGATGGGATTGCCGCCGGCCTCAATATCCCCGGCAGCTGGCAGGGCTGCGGGAAGGGGCTCCGGAGTGGCGGGAAGGGCCCGGGACCGCCGCGCCGCCCAGCGCCGCCCGCYGCGGGACGGGGCTCTGTGTGCGCCGGGTGACCCTGAGGYGCCGGAAAACAGCGGGATCRGCCCCCGGCCGAGCGGGAWCRGCCCCCGGCCGAGCGGGCRCCCAAACAGCGCGTCCTTGGGCGGCGGAGAGCGGCCTCGTCGGCCCCCGCGCCGGCCGCTCGCGGATCAGCAGGAACCGCAGCGTGSTGGGAGCTGCCCCCTGCGCTCCCGTTCCCGTGGGATTCGGCACGGGATCATCCCGAGGGAAGCCCTGGTTGAGCCGCAGCCGGAGCTGGCCTTCCCGTTGGGCCCACCGGATCCATGCGGAGCGCGTTGCCAGAGCCGGGCTGTGCCGGCATGGGGGTTGCTCCCGCTCCGGAGYGGCTTGGGAGATCCGTGCTCGGAGAGGCTCTTCCCGCGCGCGTCGGAGCGGGCACTTCATGGCCGGGAAGCTGCTCCACRTGCTCTGGGCTGCCCTCCTGCCTCCCATTCCCGCCTTGTTTTCCCTTGCGAGCTCCTCATCTGCCTCGGCTGTGCTCTGCTGTGGCGCTGGGTGCAACGGGGCCGGGTCGGGGCACCAGCCCTGGGACCCGGTGCCAGCGACGTGAACAGGCTGCGGGCGCCGACCCGGACCGCGTGTGACGGGGGGTCCCCGGGCCGGGGCCGGTGTCCCTGTCGCTGCCCACCTCAAGGGCACCCGTGGGTGCCCTGTTGGGTCCCCCCAAAGCAGTTTTGCGGCAGCCCTGAGCTGCTCCTGTCCCGTGCAGCCTGAGCCTGTAGTTTGTGTCCTTGAGCACAGGATGCCTCCCGGGGGAGGCTTTGGGGCCCTTTGCCAGGGATTTGGGGGTGTCACGGGGATGGCGAAGGTGCCGGTGGCTCCTGGGCCCTGGGGTGTCGTTTGTGCCTGGATGTTGCGTAGGGAAGCGCTCGGATGCAGCTGGGCAGAGGCTGGAGGCTACTGGCGAAGCCTCCTGGTGCTCGTGCTGCGGGTCAGAGCCCCTCATCCGGGCAGGGAATGCAGTTTGGGGGTGCCAAAGGACTCGTGAAATCCACCTTGGAGAAGAGCGCTGGGGGTCAGGAATTGTGTGGTGAACGGTGCCGCGCTGCTGTGGCTTGTGGAGCCTCCGCAAAGGGGGATGCGAAGGGAGATGCAGAGGGATGCGATGGGAGATGCACAGGGATGCGAAGGGAGCGCGGCCCTCGTAGCCGTGGCGGGGCCGCTGTGCCCGGGTGCCCTTCCTGCTGCGCTTCCCGCGGCGCCGGGGCGCAGCCGCTCGCGGCGCGGCGAGCCCGGGCACGCTGCCGGAGCGCCGCCATCCGCGACTTCCTTGGGAAGATGCCCGCAGGCCCCGCCGCGCCGCTCCGGCTGGGGAAGTCTCGGCTCCGAGTCACTTGAATGTCCAGCTCTCCTGGTTCTGCCTCCTCTCCCCGGAAGGGCGAGCGGGCCGCTCCGCGACGGGGCCGCCACGGGGCCCGCGACGTTCCGGTGCCCGTGATGGATTTTGGGGCCGTTAGCGGAGTGGGGGTTTGGCCTCCCTGTGCCTTGGGTGTCCSTGCTGGAGCGGGGGGCTGGACTGGATGAGATCTAGGGGTCCCTTCCAACCTCAGCCCTTCTGGGATTCCGAGGGGGTCTCCTGGCCGCGGCTCCGTGCAGGCTTGGCCGGCTCCGTGCCCCGAGGGTCTGGGCAGAGAGGCTGATGCTGGGGAAGGGACGGAGCTACGGACACGCTGGGCTGCATCGGGGAGGTTGGTGTCCAGGTGCCATCCTGGACGTCCTTCCCTGCTCCCATCGTTGCCTCTGGCCGCGGCGCCRGGGGTCTCAGGTTGATGTCGTGGGCGGCGCGGCCAGGGCGGCTGCACCCGYGGGATGTCAGTGCCCAGCGCCCAAAGCGGGGCCGGCCCCGCGGCCAACTGGGATCCGCGGCCCCATCATTCCCTTCCCAGGGCTCCCGAGGGCTGGAGCGGGGCCGGCTGCGGTTGATCTGCATGGGCCCTGCCGTGGCCAAGGGGGTCACCGGCTCCTCGCTCATCCTGGCGGAGCTTCCCGGCCGCCTCCGGAGCAGCGAGGGGGATGTGGACGCGGTCTGCTCSGGTCTCCACGGATAGGGAGCGGGGACGGGGATGCCGGGGAGCTCCGCGAGGCGGCTCTGACCTCCGTGTCCCGCAGACGGTGGAACACGGCTTCCCCAACCAGCCGAGCGCGCTGGCCTACGACGCCGAGCTCCGCATCATGGCCATCGGCACCAAGGCGGGCGCCGTCAAGATGTATCCTTTCCCGCGGCCGCGCCGGCGGCAGGTCAGAGCTCTCCGGAGGCCGCGGCCTCCGCGGAGGCCGGCGAGGCCGGGGCCGCGGCAGCTGGGCCACATCTGGCCCGGGCGTCTTGGCGGGAAGGGAGTGGGTGGGAGCGGGAAGAAGGCGCCGCGGCGGCTCCAGATGTGTGAGTGGAGCCGCTCCCGCTTGGAATAGCCGCCGTCGGCTGCGCTGTGCGATGGAGCAGCGCGGAAAAGGCCCCGAGGGCCTCGTGGATGCAGGGAGCATTCCCAGCTGGAGGGGACTGCAAGGGCCGGGAGTGGAGCGGGGAGCCCTCCTGCCTGCGGGATGCGGATTGGAGATGGTGCAGGGACAGCAGGAGCTGCTGGGGAGCTGGGAGCAGCCAGGCAGGACGTGGGAGCGGGGCTGGAAATGTGGGAGCGGGGCTGGAAATGTGGGAGCGGGGCTGTCATCCCGCCGCTCTCCCCAGTGCTGTGTGGGGGGCAGCGCCCGGGGTGCCCGGTGCCTCCCAGCGCCTGGAGCCGCCTGCTCTCCGGAGCGAGGCCCGTCCTCCCCGTGTCGCCACTGGGCACCCACAGCTGTTGATGGGTGTTTGGGTCCCAATCCCGGTGCTTTTGTGCTGGCTGCAGTGTTTACCCAGCCCTCACACGAGTGGTGATGGGACCAGTGGGACAGAGCGCGGGAGCTGAGCATGGAGCGCCGGGCTGGAGATCCCGGAGCCGGGACGTGCAGGATGCGACGCGGAGCCTCCGGGCCGGCCGGGCGCCACACGGAGCCGCGCGGAGCGGCGCTGGGCTGGCCGCGGGCCGCGCTGCGCTCCGC